AAAAACAAAAAAAAAAAAAAAAAATACTAAAAAACAAATTGAGATGGGCTATAAAAATATGGTTTTTCCAAACTGCAATGGGCTATAAAATACACTTTGGATTTCAAAGGTGGTATAAAAATTATCTATACTGATATTTTATCTATATGTGGTATTTTATATTGATTACTATATTTTCTTTGCTTGTTTTGGGTTTTTTTTTTTTTTGGTACTGGGAATCAAACTCGATCTTGCGCTTGCCAGGCAGGCACTTGTGCCACTGAGCTATATCCCTGGCCCGATTACTATATTTTGGATATGTCAGGTTAAATAATTTTTTAAGTAGTTACATAGGCTGACCTCAAACACATGATCCTCCTGTCTCAGCCTCCTAAGTAGCTGGGATTTACAGGTGTGCGCCATGGGAAAATATAATACTAAGATTACTTTCACCTGCTTCTCTTCCTCTCTTTTGATATGGCTCCTGGGAAGCTGAGAATTACCTATGTGGGTTGTATGTATGGCTCACGTTGTACAAAGTAGGATTGAAAAATAGGTGACTGCTTAAATTTTTAGAAATTTGCTATAATAAAAGACACATTGCCATGGGTTCCCCTCCAAGTACTCTCCTTCGAGCACCCTTAACCCGTTGTTCCCGCCGCTCTTGGAGGCAGTTCCGAGTTTAATTCTTTACTCTCTTCTTTTTCCTCCACTGCCAAATGCCTAAGCCCCTACCTTTCTCTCTGTCTCAGTTACCAAGAAAGGAGCTCATCCCCAGCCATCCACAGTCAGCCTCTGTCTCCAGCTGCCACACGGTTTTAATGATTTTTTTTTTGGTACCAGGAATCGAACTCAGGACCTTGCACTTGCCAGGCAGGCATTTGTGCCGCTGAACTATATCCCCAGTCCGCGCCACACGGTTTTCTGGTGGATGTGGAGACGGTGGAGAACAGGAATGACCTGGCCTCTCTCCCTCAACAGGGGCTTGGAGAGAACCGTGGCCTTGCCTGGCAAAGCCTGGCCCACCTGCAAGTAAATGAATCACAAATTACGTGCACAAGACACACGTGCAAAGGCCCTGCAAGCACTAGCGCTGAGGTCTGGTTATCCCCGGAACTGCATCGAAAAGAACCATGAGGCACCCAGTCTGGAAAATATTACAGCCACATCTAGCAACAGGCAGGACCCACGAACAGGAATGCGGGTGGGGAAGGTCTTGCAGATGAAATGATGGGTTACAGCAAGCAGTCCAAGCCGCCGCCCCAGTGACACCATAATGTCACCGACCAGCCTTGGGCAGGACGCCTCAAGCCCTCTGGACACAGTCTCCTCATCTGTAGGGGTCACAGGATACCAGGAACTGTGAAGATTGGATGGGATACAGCTGCAAAGGGCTCCAGGGATATAGCTCAGTGGTATAAGCACCTGCCTGGCAAGCACAAGGTCCTGAGTTCAATTCCCGGTACCAAAACAAAACAAAACAAAAAAAAGTTACAGTTTAAAAAAAAACAAAACAAAAAAAAAGAAAGAAAAACAATGCAGGGGGCTGGGGATTTAGCTCAGCAGCACAGCACCAGCCGGCAAGCACAAGGTCATGAGTTCCATTCCCGGTACCAGAAAACAAACAAACAAAAAAAAAAACAGATGCAAAGGGCGTTTTTGAATCAGAAAAGCTGCAGCAAAACAGTGTTTCCTGGCACGGGCTGTGGTGCTCCGCGAGCCTGCAACCAAGGAGAAGCCTCAGCAGAGGTCTCCCTGCAGGGCACCTGTCTCCCTGAGAGGAGTAGTCCTATTCGCGCTACACTGCAGCTCGTGACTCCCCAGCTCCGTCAGCACTGCAGCTGCGTGGCTTGGTCAGTAACACGCCTTCAGGAATTCAGCCAGATCTGTCAGACTCGGCCGCAGTCTGCCATGGCCTACACAGTGTACCTCTGGGAGAAGCACGGTCCATCCGTCCTGTGGCTAGTAGTTAATTATCAACTTACTCCAGCAGTTGCTTTTCCCAGTAACTGTCAGAATATTTAAGATTTACAACAGATTCTGATGACCCACCAAACAGCATTTCTGTTTAAAGTACCCAAGTGGTGTCCGGGTGGTGGCGCACGCCTGTAATCCCAGCACTTGGGAGGATGAGTCAGGAGGATCATTGTGAGTTCAAGGCTAGCCTGGGCTCGGAAAACAAACAGGTACCCAAGTGGTGAGAAAAACTATAAGAGAAAATTTTACCTGTGCAAAATAGAACCTAAATAGAATATTCTTCGTGTATTGACCATCTCCTTTGCACAAAATAAATGAACTCCTCCCTCCCATAAAGCAGAGATTAGCAAGGAACTACAGAGTGATAGGTGGCATTTAAATAGGGCAGCAGCCGGGGATATAGCTCAGTGGCACAAGCGCCTGCCTGGCAAGCGTTAAGGTCCTGAGTTCAATTCCTGGTACAAAAAAAATTTAGTGGGGTGCAGTGGTGCATGCCTGTAATCCTAGCACTCAGGAGGCTGAGGCAGGAGGATTCACCGACCAGCCTTGGGCAGGACACCTCAAGCCCTCTGGACACAGTCTCCTCATCTGTAGGGGTCACAGGATACCAGGAACTGTGAAGATTGGATGGGATACAGATGCAAAGGGCGCCAGGGACATAGCTCAGCGGTATAAGCACCCGCCTGGCAAGCACAAGGTCCTGATTTCCATTCCCGGTAACAAAACAAAACAAAACAAAAATGCAAATTTTTGTTTGCATTTGTTGCATTTTTGTAACAAAAATGGCCTTGCAAATTCAGGCCAGCCTGAACTGCATAGTGAGACTCTGTCTCAAAAAGACAAAAAATAAATAAATAAATAAATAAATAAATAAATAGGGCAGCAGCAGGGAGTGGTGGCCCATGTCCCTAACCCTAGCACTCAGGAGGCTGAGGCAAGAGGATTGCCATGAGTTCAAGACCAGCTAGATAGTTCAAGGCCATCCTGGGCTACATAGTTCAAGGACAGCCTGAACTACATAGCAAGACCCCATCTCAAAATAAAATAAAATAAATAGAATAAAATAAAAACGGAGCAGAGCAGGGACACCACAGATGTTTTTGTTTGCTTTTTTTTTTTTTTTTTACAGAAAAAGCTAACACAAAATTTCATAACAAAATAACAGGGGGATGACAACAGTTAATACCTTCCATGTTGTTATCTTTAAAGTAGTTCGCCTTTCTCTCCTGGAGATTCTGACCTCCCCTCTGGACCCCGCGACTACAGGCGCGCAGGGCTTGGCGCGCAGGGCTTGGCGTGCATTCGCATAACTGATGAGAGGACCCGGAGCTTCCCAGCCTCCATAAACGGCGGAAAAGGCGCGCTGCATCTTTAAGGCCGTCCGCTTGGCAGACGTAGGCAGGGCCGGCTCTGCTGCAGCAGCAGCGCCTCAGCCCACCCATGAGGTGGTTAGCCAAGGTGGAGGATGGGGAGAGAATGGACCTGTCCCAGCTCCTCAATGAGATCAGGACAAACTATGAAAAGCTCCTCAGCAGCAATCAGATAGAGACGGTGCTGTCCACGAGGATGCAGGTAATGATTTCCCAGAGACAGGCACCTCCCAGGATAAGGAGACGGTCGTGTCTGCCCAATTCCTTCCCCGGCCTCCCCGAGGTACGGTATTTCCTTTCCTTTCCGATGCGGACACACTGGGGAAGGAGCGGAGGTCTTCCGTGCCGGGAGATCGGGATGACAAAGGGGAAAGCTGCGGCGCCCCCCGCCCCCCCGCTAAGCTGAGCTCTATGGAAAGGGGGGGATGCATCTGATTTTCAGCTAGATGACGAGGGGGGGATCATGAATAAAGCGTGGAACCCATAAACAGTAAAATGGTGCACCCCAAGCTCGTTTAGACATCTTGGAGAAGGCAGCGTCTCAGACACCCTTCACAGGCAGCGTGAAGTTACTTACAAGAATGATTCAAACCACGTCTTTTTAACGCAAGCCTTAGGTAAGATTTCTTGCTGGGCACACGTTCTGAAGGTAATTTTCGAAGAGGTTCCTGTTATCTTTTTAATGAGTTCAGGTTTATACTAGATTGTTATAAATAGCAGTCATCTCAGGACGGAGGGAGGCCTTCAGAGCTAATAATATCAGTTGTGACAATCAAATTCCCCAAATTGGTAATGAGTCTCCAACTAGGTCTTTTGCTTTTCAACTGTGAGAAATGTTTATGTTCAGTACAACCTTGCAATATGCAAGGAGCGAACCAACTTAAGAGCTACATTTCATATCCTTGGGTTTAAAGTGATAAGCACCTTTAGCAATTCATTCTGGCCTCAAGTCTTTAAACAAATTTTAAAGCAAATATTTTAAAAACAAAGATTTAGAAACTGAGGGGGTCTGTGTTTTTCACTCTGGTGCTGGTTTTCTTTAGCGTTCTTTTTAGTGTACCTAGGCTATCCGAGCTCAATTTTTATTCCAGGCACACAAATTCAGCAAAAAAAAAAAAAAAAGTTTACTTAAAAACATCATCAAAAAGAAACCAAAATACTGCTGGGAAATCATGGGCTTTTATTCTATGAGTACCTCATGATAGTGACATTATAAATTTTGCCCCTGGGTACCATTTTCGGGTTTCATAAAAAATGACTGTCCTGGGTTTAAGCAAAGTCACTGGGACTTTTGATTTAAGCACTGGAATAATTCACTCATCTTTTACAATGAGAAGGGGGAAAAAATTAATAGAGGACCACTTCTGAAAATTATAAGCCAAGTAAACTCTTTATTTAGAGGTAGTAGAAATTCAGGGGTGGCTTGCAAAATTCAAAAGCCAAAATGAGTAAACTCAAATTTAAAAAGCGAGACTATGGTATAACTTTGGCTTAGGGGCATTTTTAAACATAAAACTACTTTAGAGAATCCTTCCCACCAATCATTTAGAAAGTCAACCGAGATGTAGTCAAGATAGCCTGCTTATTTAATGATCGGAAAAGCGCTTGAGGCCTTGCGGCTCCATCCCCAGACCCCGCCTTCACATCAGAAAATAAGCCAGTAGTTACCAGGCGGGGCTAAGTCACCCTGTGCCCGGTGGGCCCCCGCGACGCGCAGGTTCTCCCGGGGTCACACCATGCTGGCCGCTGTCTTGGGGCACGGCTGCAACTCCCAGGATTCCATGCGGAGGGAACCACAAATGGGGGGCCGGGGATTTAGCTCAGCGGCAAAAGCGCCTGCCTGGCATGCGCAAGGTCGTGAGTTCGGTTCCCGGTACCGGAGGAAAAAAAAACAAAAAAACCAAAAAACCAGAACCACAAATGGACAAGAATTGGAGACCTGCGTGTGGCCAGGGGCCATCCCGGGAACCTGGCTATGACAGACTCAAGCTGAGCTGCTGCCCCCACTCCAAACCCAGAGGCCCAGGAGGCGCCAGCATTTGTGTGCGCCGATTCCAAAATTCTAAAAGTTCTCTTTGAACACTAAGAGCAAGGGCCCAGCGACCCTAGAGCCTGTCAGTCTTGCTCTCCAGTACCTCGTTCTGAACTTGACTGATGCACTTTCGTGGGCTCCAGGCTCCTTTCATCAAAATGTATTGCATGATCAAACTCAGTTTTTTAATGTTAAAACCTTTATGATAAGAACAAAGTTACTGGGGCTGGGGATTTAGCTCAGCGGTACAAGCGCCTGTCTAGCAAGCGCAAGTTCCTGAGTTCCTCACGTAGCAAAAAAAAAAAAAAGAACAAAGTTGCCATTTTTTGCTTCAAAATGTTACCATCAAGCCATTACACTGTTCCAACTGTTCTTGGGGCCAAATGTTGAAAATTCTGTCAACAGATATTTTCTTTTCATTCCAACATCAGCATGAAAGCATATAAAATCAAATATAAAAGTCCCACTTACTTTTAATGGAGCACATTTAAAAACAATCTTTAAGATATTGTTTCTGTTACAACCCCAGATACCCAAAACTGAGCACAACTGTAATTCTCTAGGAGGCTGAGGCAGGAGGATTAAGTTCCAGGCCAGCCTGGGCAACTTAGTAACTTAGCAAGATGCTGTCTCAAAAATTTTAAGAAGAGTTAGGGATGTAGCACAGTAGAACGGCCCTGGGTTGAGTCTGAAGTACCATTAAAAAAACAAAAAAAAAATTTCTTTTTAAAAAGATCCTTTTGCTGGATGTGGTGGTTCACACCTGTCATCCCAGCACTCAGGAGGCTGAGGCAGGAGGATTGCGTCCAGCTCTAGGCCAGACTGTGCTACCTAGTGAGTTCAAGGCCAGGCTGAACTACAAAGCAAGACCCCGCCTCAAAGATAAATAAATATGAATCACAGATTGTGTCTGGCAAGGGCTCTGGGAACCATTTCCTTCAGAGGAAGCTGAGGCTGACAGTACAGTGAGGAGCTCACATATTGACTTCAGGCCTAACCAGCTCTAGAAATCACGGTTGCAGTCTGGCGCTCAAAGATGATTTGACTCCTGCACTCCTCCGAGATCGCTTTGAAGCCCCGTTTTCACAGCGGTCCTTGTTTCCCTTCGCTGTTGCTGGCTTTCTCACAGCTGGAAGAAGACATCAGCAAAAAAATGGACCAGGATGAAGAGGCTCTGAAGGCGGCTCGAGCGGAACTCAAGGAGGCGCGCCGCCAGTGGCACCACCTGCAAGTGGAGATCGAGTCGCTGCACGCCGTGGTGAGGAGGGCAGCCGGGTGTGGGGCGCGCGCCTGTCATCCCAGCACTCGGGAGGCTGAGGCAGGAGGATCGCTGGGAGTTCAAGCCCAGCCTGAACGACACAGGGAGACCCTGTCTCAAAAAAAAAAGAAAATGCAGCCGTACCTGCTCGTCATCCTGGGGCTACTTGTTGAAAAGGTGAAACAGCACTTTGGATCTGGGGGTTTTTGAGACAGAGTCTTTCTTTGTAGCCCAGGCTGGCCTGGAACTTGCCTTGAACCTCCTGCCTCAGCCTCTGGAGTGCCGGGATGACAGACGTGCGCCACCACGCCAGGCTGGAGCGCTTGTTATTATCCAGTGTTTTAACAGTGGGCTTCTTGTATTCAGGCTACCGAGACGTCCAGCAGAAAAACATGCTGAAGCACTTTCCTAAAATGCCTTTTTAAGCAGTCTGCTCTGCCTTTGATATTCAATGTACTATGTATTTAATATTTGTAAAAATCAAACGATTCTGAATATGCCGGGCGTGGTGACGCACACCTGTGATGCCAGCGCTCGGGAGGCTGAGGCAGGAGGACCGCTGAGAGTTCAAGGCCAGCCTGGGCTAAGAGAGCAAGAGCCCCACCTCGCACCTCTGGTTCCCTGAGGCCGCTCTCCGTCCACAGGAAAGGGGCCTGGAGAGCTCCCTGCAGGCCAGCGAGCAGCAGCACCAGATGCAGCTGCAGGACCTGGAGGCGGTGATCGAGGGGCTGGAGACGGAGCTGCAGGACGTGCGGCGCGGCATCGAGAGGCAGCTGCAAGAGCACGAGCTGCTTCTCAACACGAAGATGAGGCTCGAGCAGGAAATCGCCACCTACCGCCGCCTCCTGGAGAGGGAGGAAATCAGGTACCCACCGCGCGGACGTGGGCGGAGAGACCCAAAGGCAGGCGAGGACCCGTCCTCGCCAAGGCGCATGCGCTGAGCGCAACACCCCGCTTGGAGGACGACTTCCGCCTCCTCAAACAGAGACAGACAGTTGCTCTGCTTGGTGACAGGCGCCTACCTGTCATCCAGCACTCAGGAAGCTGAGGCAGGGGGATGGCTGTGAGTTCGAGACCAGCCTGGGCTACATAGTGAGCTCAAGGCCAGGCTGGTTATTTGGAGACAGGGTCTCCCTGAGCCACTCAAGTGCCCAAAGGAGGCTTGCCATCACACCCAGCTCAAAAATGACCTTTATTTAGTTTCTCCTTTTTTTTTTTTTTTTTTCTGTTGTTGTTTTCGTTTCTTGAGACAGGGTCTCACTATGTAACAGGCTGGCCTCGAACTCACAATGATCCTCCTGCCTCAGCCTCCTGAGTGCTGGGATTTGGCTTCTCTCGTTGCAGTTTGTCTCTTTTAAGCTTAGCCTTTCTTTCGATAGACCATCCAAAAAGACAGTTTGGAAGATGCATGTACTATCACCAGAATCGCATCCTAAGGGCCCACCCACCACACATTAAACATGAAAATAAATTAATAATAATAAGAATGTGATTAAGCTACAACCAAGGAAAGTAATAAAGTTCCGAATTGATTTAGAAGACTTCCAAGCTGGGCGTGGTGGTGCACAGCTGGAAAACCACCACTTAGGACGCTGAGGCAGGAGGATCACTGCAAGTTTGAGACCAACCCAGATCACATACCAAGACTCTCAAAAAAAAAAAAAGACTTCCAGATGTTCCAATAGGAAAAGGCATTAAAACGGGAAATCTTTGTTCATACAATATCAAAATTGGTGATCACTTCTGAGGTTGTGTAGCTGTGAACATGGCACAGCAACATGCTTGTAGAAAGAAACCTTTATTCTTGCTTGTTTCAGAATTCTAAGTCCTCCATGAAACTAGATGAAACTTTAGCCTATGATAAGTCTTTACATTTATTAAATTTTTAAAAAGCATAAACTCAGCTTAAAATATACCACTTATTAGCTAAGTGACCTTGGGCAAATTACTTAACTTTCTGTTTTTTGGTTTCTTAATCTGTGAAATGGCAGTAATACTGTAATAATAATATTAAATATTACCTACCTCATAGAATTGCTATGAGCATTAAAGGAGCCAATGTTCGTAAAATTTTTAAAATAGTAGCTGGCACACCGTAAGTGCTCTATAGATGCAGGTATACATGGATAGCTATAGTTTCATATATAGTTATGTAGAGTTACGTATGGCTATGGTAAGCCAGGAATGGTGGCGCACTCCTATAATCCCAGCACTCGGGAGGCTGAGGCAGGAGGATCGTGGCAAGTTCAAGACCAGCCTGAGCTACAAAGTGAGCTGACGCCCAGTCTGAACTGCATAGCAAGACCCTGTCTCAAAAAGACAAAAAAAAAAGTATGGATATGGTGATATGTGACTATATATTGTTAAACAAAATAAACGGTTGTATGGTCAGGTATGGCGGCACACTCCTGTCATTCCAGCACTTGAAGCTGAAGCAGGAGGATTGCTGCAAGTTCAAGACCAACCTGGGCTACATAGTTCAAAGCCAACCTGAACTAGATAGCAAGACCCTATCTCAAAAACAAAAAAAGAAAACTGGCTGTGGATTTTACCTAATTCCTAATCATTCAAGATGTTGACAAACTGATCTTTAATATTTCTATAATAAATTTTGAATTTTGAATTATGCTACTCTTAAGATCTACCAAAAAAGAAAAAGAGCAAAACAGAACAAGACTTCATGTACCCACCTGCGCTAGTTTAAGAAATTATGCCGGGCGTGGTAGCACACGCCTGTGATCCCAGCACTTAGGAGGCTGAGGCAGGAGGATCCTTGTGAGTTCAAGATCAGCCTGGGCTACAAAGTGAGCTCAAGGCCATCCTGAACTGCATAGCAAGACTCTATCTCAAAAAGAAAAAAAAAGTAATTATATGTTCCCTGTGTTGCTGAAGTCCCCTGGGCACAGAAATGGCATCCCCCAAACCTATCCTCCGAACCTGGTGCATTCCATTAGAGTAGTATAGTATACATTCTGTAGTACAGTATATCACCTCCTCCAATGGAACTGATATGTTCCATTGGAGGAGGTGATATATGTATGCACAGGCATCACTCACAAAATCTAGAGCTGTTTTGCATGTCACTTTAACCTTTATAAAGTTAGCGGCAGCTGTCTTCTTTCATGCACATGATGCCGGGAGGTTGACCCCCAAAGATACGGTATTGTCACTGCGAAATAGTTTCTGCTGTACGATTGCTCTAATCCAGGGATGGCGAACCTTTCAGAGCTTTTGACAATAACAAACACCCGCTGCACACGCGTGCCACAGGTTCGCCACCACTGTTCACTGTTTGGACTATTTGCAAATGCAGTGTTGCTCCTGTAATATAATTCTGTCCTTTTTCAGGTACTATGGTTGTATCCAGGGTGGGAAAAAGGAGCCCAAGCCTACCACCAGTAGAGTTGGTTTTGTTTTACCTTCAGGTGAGTGGTTGAGGGTGGTGATTTGAAAAGTGATGCCTCACTTCCTAGAATGAAATTAAGCTCTCCAAAGTAGCAAAAACAAGTCGTATTTGCGTCAAAGTTTGACACATAAGGTAGTCGTGCACATCCTTCCCCGCTGTAATTTGTCATATATAACATTTTCGCAGCCATCATAAATGAAATATCTTTTTCAACAAAACTCTCACAAAAGTATGAGGATGAAAAAGTGGAAACGGTAACCAAGCAGGCAACGGTAAATGGAAATATCGTGAAGGAGAGCACCGAGGCTCACGGCACCATTCAGTAAGTAAAATAACCCTGACTGAGAAATAACAACAGCCCAGGCATGGTGATGCACGCCTGCAATCCCAGCACTCGGGAGGCTGAGGCAGGAGGATCGCTGAGAGTTTAAGACCAGCCTGGACCACACAGTGAGACCCTGTCTCAAAGCCAGAGAGAGGGAAGGATAAAGGGAGAGAGAGAGAAAAGGGGAGAATGCATAAGCATAGGTAAAGAAATTAACTTCAATCAAATAAACCCAGGAGTGAATCTTCTTTGTTTCTAAACAGTCTTCATCTATTGTGTTTTGTTTTGGTTTGGTTTTTGGTTTTTTGAGACAGGGTCTCGCTATGTTGTTCATACTCGTCTTGAACTCACTGTATGGCCCAGGCTGCCCTTGAACTCACAGCAATCCTCCTGCCTCAGCCTCCTGCGTGCTGGGATTACAGGTGTGCGCCACCACACCCAGCTTACACTGTGATTTTTAAACCAAAATGAATATATATATATATATATATATGGTGAAAAATACACAAGGCATCGATTAATGTACTGTTCTAAAAATAAAACCAGACCAAGAGAATTCCGCGCACATTGCACAGAATTCCTCAGAAATTACACCCCTGTGAGTTTTTAAAGTCTTGGTTATCAATTATAGACTTCACAAACCATGAGTTATACAACTATTTGGTTTTCCCGTACTTCTCCCATAGAAAGTGTCACTCTTTCATTTCAGGACAGAGAAGGTGGATGAAGTCATTAAGGAGTGGGAAGGCTCCTTCTTCAAAGACAACCCTCGCTTGAGGAAGAAGTCTGTTTCTCTGCGGTTTGACCTGCACCTGGCGGCCACGGACGAGGGCTGCTTACAGACCGGGCAGGACAACCTGCCCGACATCGAGGTCAGGCTGATCATGCGGCGCTCCTGCAGCATCCCCTCTATCCAGCGCCCCGCGCCCGCTGACTAGCCCCACGCTGGCATCGCCTTGATCTGCAAGTCCCGCGAGGACGGGAGGCCGGGACGGGGCCATGCTGACCTCTCTCTGTCTGAAATGTAAATTCTTAAGTACGGAGGGAAAATGTGAGGATCCACCTGTGGTGGTTGATTCCCTTCAGGGAAAAAAAAAACAGCTAAGGGTTAACGTTTCTCTGAACTCAATTATGGGCATATTTTTGGGAGAGGGAGAGCTCAAAAATAAAATCAGAAATTCAGGATGGTTTCTATTTTATTTATTCTCCAAATGGTCTTCTTTTTCCCTGGAAATTTTATCAGAGACTGGCCGTACATGGTACTGAGCTGGCTTGGTTTAAAGCTGTGATTTCACTGGAAGGCAGCTGTGGCGAACCTCTGGCACGCGTGCCCCAGCGAACTGTTTATTATCGCCAGAAGCTCTAAAAGGTTCGCCATCACGGCTCTTAAGAGTGTCTGAAGACGACTATCAACTGTGAAGAGACGTCACTGTTTCCCGATTGGCTGAACCTAAAACGTTTATTCTACTTTAAAAAGCCAGCAGGGGTAACGTTTTAAGGGGGGGACTCGCTAGTCACTTAGAATGTTTCCTTTCGAGACAATCATTTGGACACTTCGAAAAATAAGACGAGTTCTCTTCATGAACGGTCATGAGCGAACTACAGAACACACTCCAAGGGGACTGCGATGATAAACACCATTGTTACTCTACACCTGCAAGTTTTCTGTAAGCAGTATCTGAATTCCAGAAGAGCCACTCTATTGAAAGAACTTTTAAAAAAGAAAATCAGAAGGCCAGTTATAAAATTAAAACACGAACAGCAAACTGCAAAGGTGTTTTTTATAGTTACTAGAATGGTCACCCAACCCTCAAGTGTCCCAGCATCTGCATCTAGAAAGGTAAATGTGATCACGTCTTGGCTTAGGTAAGTTACTCCATGGAGTACTATGAGTATTTCTTGTAGTCATTTATGTGAACTAAGATAACGCCATTGTTATCTAAGCTAAGAGTCTTTGTGGTATTTGTTTCTGGTTTTTGGTTTGTTTTGTCTTGTTTTTTTGTTTTTTTGAGACAGGGTCTCACTATGTAGTTCAGGCCGGCCTTGAGCTCACTTTGTAGCCCAAGCTGGTCTCAAACTCTCAAAGATCCTCCTGCTTCGGCCCCCCAAGTGCTGGGATTGGGGCTGGGGATTTAGCTCAGCGGCACGGCGCCTGCCTGGCAAGCGCTAGGTCGTGAGCTCGATTCCTGGTACGGGGCGGGGGGCAAGTCCTGGAATTACAGGCATGCGCCACTATGCCCAGCACCGTGGGATTTGTTTTTAAATTGCTCAAACTAATAAATATGGATAAAACACATATTTGTGCATAAGTGAAGCATTGTTGTGAAGTTTTCTAAAGAAGCGAATTTGCTCAATACAAGTATATTTATTTTAAGACCTTAAAAAATAAATACTTCTTTTAAAACACTAGAAATTGACAGGCTATTTTTTTTCTAAGCAGAAAAAAATGGATGAGTATAACTCATACTTTTTTCCCAGCGAAAGTATTACCTAAGGGCTATAGCTACGTTAGAATTTTAGTACAGCGTGCATATATATATACATGCTATATGTATATATGCTGTATGTGTGTATGTATATATGCTGTATGTATATTTATACATACCAGTAAAATGTTTGTTTTCATCAGAAGAAAATTATGTTAATTTCTAACATAATACATAAATAGAATGTTTTACATTTTCTTTCAGTTGTTTGTGAGGCCTTTCAGCCTGGCTTATTCTATTCAGTGAAAAGGAGACAATTTTGTTTCGTCAAGGATACCATCGCATGTTAAGTGCTAATTCTTGTGTAATCATCTGACGTAAAGTACATCCTGTAAATAAATAAAAATGTTTCTCCTGGGCCGGGGGTTAGAGCCCAGTGGTGGAGCGCTTGCTAGCATGCCTGAGGCCCTGGGTTCAATTCCCAGCACCAAGGGAGGAAAAAAAAAACCAGTTTCATTCAATGTTTGTTAAATGTTACAAATTTTATCAAAGCTTTAAAAATGCATTCGTATCCACTATTGTATTAACGTTCCTACCCTAAGCAAGTGTGCTCATGTAACAAAGCAATCTATCTAATGTCCCTCCTCACAGAGCTCAGACCTTAGTAGGGGCATTAGGAATGTAACCGCTTGTTGTCGGAATTCCACTATGCAGCTGTTGTGTGTATGACATGTACATTTTAAAATACAGTACTTGATTTTGTAAAAAAGAAAAAGCTTTATTTCCTCTGAGCCATTTTAAAACTGGAATATGAATTTACCCAAGTAAATGATACCACAATAAAAGAATATTGAAACGTGAACTCCAAGCTGCCTTGTGTTTGCCTTTGACACATAGCTCTCCTCGCCCAAAGAGGGCTCCGCCTGCGTCTTTAAACGAAACACAGGACGCCGGCCCACTCGGGGAATGAAGAAAACCGCGATCACAGAGCTTGTTCTGAGAGAACGGTCCCCAGTCGGACCCACTCGCGAGCCGACAACTGAGCCTTACACGGCGCTCTTGTGAACGTTCGCAACGTGAATGTTCGTAATTCGGGACTTTCTGTATTGACATCTCACCACAAAAATCAAAATAATCAAAATAACCACACTACCCCACAATTCTGGCAAAAGCATAACAGCAACTACCGTTCGTTTGTTTGTTTTTGTCTTTTTGAGACAGGGTCTCGCTATGCAGTTCAGGCTGGCCTTGAACTCACTCTGTAGCCCAGGCTGGTCTCCAATTCATAATGATCCTCCTGCCTCAGCCTCCCGAGTGCTGGGATCACAGGCGTGAGCCCCCATGCCCGGCCCTAACCACCAGTTAGTAAAGTGCTTTCTCCACTGGAAGCACAGGGTTCAAAAGACTGATTCATAATCCCTAATCCTCACGACAATCCTACAAGATAAACGATACTATCTTTCCCTTACAGAGGGATGAAATTAATATTCTTTGGTCTCACTGAGACATTCCAAATGCACACTGTGCTAACAAACTCCACAGTGATTCCAAGCACTAACAATAGTAAGACCCTGCTGGGTGTGGTGGCGCACGCCTGTAATCCCAACACTCGGGAGGCTGAGGCAGGAGGATCCTTGCAAGTTCAAGGCCAGCCTGGGCTACAAAGAGAGCTCAAGGCCAGCCTGAACTGCATAGGGAGACTCTGTCTCAAAAAGACAAAAATAAATAAATAAATAGTAAGACCCTATCCCTGGCTCCATCCCTAATGAACTGCACAAGAAGAGGAATCATTCTAAATCCTCAGGCTTTGATTTTCAAGTGTTTTAGCCAGGAGTGGTGACACACACCTGTCATCCCAGCACTTGGGTGGCTGAGGCAGGAGGATCACCACGAGTTTGAGGCCAGCCTGGGCTACACAGCAAGAGCCTGTCTCAAAAAAAAAGGAAAAGCAAAGAAAACAAAGGCAAAAGTGACACTTTGTAATAATTCCTTCCCTTCTTACCTCACAGTTGTTTGAAATAACATAAATGTGAGAATATTTGATGAAGCACTACTCAGATATACAATAGAACTTGGCCGAAAAACTGTCTCTGAGGCTGAAGGGCTTCTGAGGAAAACTACAGCTAACACTATGAATAGTTCAAAGCACAACAGAAAGAAATAATAGTGTAAATTTTTCAGTTGCTACTCTCCCCCAAAAAAGTTCTTTCCCAGAGAATTACCCAAATTGTATTGTTCTGCCCTCATGGTTTTCTAAAGAATAAAAGTGTTCCGTGAAGATAATAAATGATTATTATTTTAAGCCAATACATTTTAGGATGATTTGGTACACAAAAATGAACAATACTGCGTGGAAGCATTTTTCTTATTGACTTTTTTTAGAGTTCTTTACATTATCAAAGTTCAATTTGTCCCTCTGTTTGCTTTCTTTTATGTTTGTTTTTGAGATAGGGCTTTGCTGTGTGGTTAGCCTGGCCTTGAACTCACTATGTACCCCGGGCTGGCCTGGAACTCACTGAAATCCTCCTGCCTCAGCCTCCCGAGTGCTGAAATTACAGCACGTCCCACCACGCCCACTTTGTTTGCTTTCTTAACCTATTAAAAAAAAAAAGAGAGAGACAAAAAGTCAAAACATGTTTTAAATTAGTTTGAAAGTTTCATGTGCAAATGTATAGCCTATGGACCAAAATTAAACTTTAAACAATATGCATGTAGATAGCAGTCCAATTATGAACACCTCAAATCAAAGGCGAGTCTGTCAAAGGGCAGAACTTGGTTCTGTGTTTCCAAGTTATGGCCAGCATGGGCGCACAGACTGACAACAAAGAATCTAAAACAAGGAATCTATAGAAGTCACTAGAAGGCTTTCCAACCTGCCCTCGCACGCTGGAGACCAGGGCAAGCAAACTGCTTCCACAGACTCCCCGACGGCAGGTATTTTAGGCTACGTGAGGCTTCAGGGTCCCTGTAGCAACTCGGCAACTCTGCCCTCACAGTTTCCAGCAACTATAAACCATGATACTGATGGGGGTGGCTGCACCCAGGTGAACTGTACCCACAAGGACAGAGGCGGTGCAGATTCAGCCTGCAGCAGTATTTTATGAGCCTCACGGGGGACTGTTCTTCAGTGGGAGAATGCTTGTTGCCCTAGTGCATGTGAGGGCCTGGGTTCCACCACCTTGCTTAAAAAGAAAAACAGTTTGCCAACCCTACTTTCTAGAGCCTCAAAATTACCGATCGGGATGGGCCGATACCCAGAATCCCCAGAGCCATCCTTTTCCTCACCATGTGCCAAACTCGCATCCAGAAATCTTCAGTTATTCTGAGGGCAACACGGAGGATACAGAAGCACAACGTCCTCTGTCACTATCTATAAAACAACGTCAATTACTCTGCCTTGAAAGCGTGCTGGGCACCAATATTTCACAGCTATTTGTAGCACAGAAACTGAATATTCACACCAGGTGTGGCGGCGCACGCCTGTCATTGCCAGCACTTGGGAGGCTGAGGCAGGAGGACTGCTGTGAGTGTGAGGCCAGCCTAAACTGCATAACAAGACTCTGTCTCAAAAAACAACAAAAAAAACGAAACAGAATTGAATATTCATTGTAGCTCTGTCTGCTTTCGTAGAAAGAGCTGAGAAAACTCTTCTGTTTCTGCATTTTGCCTATGACTAGGCTTTCATAGGTTTTTTGGCTCAAGCAGAGCTCTGTCCTCTCTTTCTCTTAGTTTTCAGGGGCAAAAATTGATGAAAAAGACGGCTCAGAACACACTACAAGCAGACCCCACGGTTCAGAGGGCACGCAGCAGCTGAGCATCGGGTAACAGTTGTTTTTTCTAAGCCAAAACCTTAGTCTTCAGGCTTAACTGCAGGGTGGGTTCTGGGCTGCAGTTTGGGCCCTTGGTCTCTGAAAGGTTCACCATCAAGCCCCAGAGCTTGCTCAGAGGCGGTTAGGTGTCCAAGGAGTGTGGGTTTTCCCTTGTGCGTTCTCCGACATTTTCTCCTTTTTCCATCTTTGTCCCCAGCCAGGGTCCTTTCTGCCCCTAACTCTGCCTCCCTCCGCAGTTTCTTCCCACAGTGCAGAACTCAGAACGGAACTCTGGACAGAAGCTGGGCTGGAATCCCAGGCTGATCACGTGTGAGTTCCGGCTTCCCTGTCTTGGGGAAAGAAGAACCCCAAGAAAAGGCAAGTACTGTAGTGTCGGAGAGGAAAAGAGGCTGCGTGTGTGGGTCTTGGTACCAAAAAGAAAGCTAAAGTTCCAGGGCCTAAAACGACCTCTGAAGTTTACCACCAGGCCTACTAACGCTGCACCCTACATTTTCCCAGGGTAAATCCCAATTCCAGACGTCTGTCTTGCACTCCTACAAATATCCTGTGCGTGCAAGATTGCATGTCCTGCTGTTTGTTTTGTGGGGAGTAAACTCTGTGAGCCAAGTGGACATGTCCATGTTAGGTATTTTACCCTTCAACTTTAGTATCTTCGGGACTAGGGAAGAGAATTTTTTTTCTGTTATCTTTTGCCTATATTCTTGCTTTTTAGATTTTTCAAATCTTAAGAAGTAGAGGAAGAACCAAGGGAGGAACAGGAGAGGCAGTCATTTGCTCCTTTATTCCACAAAAAGCAAGCACCTGTCAGGCGTGGTGGCGCATGCCTGTAATTCCAGCAGGGGGGAGGCTGAGGCAGGAGGATTGTTGCGAGTTCGCGGCCAGCCTGAGCTACAAAGTGAGCTCAAGGCCAGCCTGAACTGCATAGCGAGACCCTGTCTCAAAAAGATGAAAACAAACAAACAATAATTTCGCGTCCATTACCCCAAGTACGGCTGGGGCTGCCTGTTACGGCTGGACGACCTCGGTCTTTCCCTTCAATGTGCCCTTGGTCTCAGGCCTCCCTGTCCCCGAGTGTAAATCAGTGCAGGTGGAAGACCTGGAGCGAGACGCACGCGTGCCCAGCTCTGCAGACTTCAAGAGATACCCAGGTCCTGCTGGCACAACCAAGACGGGGCTGAGGGAGGCGGAAGAACTCAGCCAGTGTCCCTGAACGCCAGCACTAACCAGAGCTCAGGTCGCAGAGAGAAAATACTACAACTATAGCTTCGTAATGGGGCCGTCAGACTCAAGCGGCCTTGACTACACAGCTGCCGCTCAGAGATGAAATTGACTTGGCCTCCACAAGCATCTGTCCTGCTGCGTACTTCGAGGGCTGTCGTCCCCCAGGGCAGACTAGCTCTATCAAGGTCACATCAAATCTCGCTTGCCTGCCTGGGACCTCGACCTGCCTCATAACTGACCCCCTCCTATGAAACCTGCTCCGGACACATCTGCCTGACAACGTATGACGCACTAGATGTAGCCAATGATGCACCAACCTGTACTCGTAACCAATGACAGACTAGCCCTTTCCCGCCTCCGTACTTCCTGCTCACAGAAATGTATGTAAGTTGCCGGTTCACTTGAAGCCAGGGCTGACGTTCTGGACGCAGGTCCCCCCAGCCCGCGGCGTTAATGGAAGTTGCCTTCCAACTCCCGGATGCCAAGCACTGTCCACCCGGCTTGCCACAGTTTCCGCAGCAAGGCCGTGGTCCCCGCACGGCGGCCGGCGCCGCACGGCACAGCGGCAACGCGCCGGCGA